AGGGGATAATTTCCATACTTATTTGGCCTACTATTCTGTTTCGGAAAACAACCCCCTCAGAAAGTCCTGCAAAATCTACCTTCTTTAAAAGAACAAATAGATGGCGCCATCTCACCCTGCCAACTTCCAATTGCACCTGATACAATTGCCACCCTCTGTATCAATTCAGTCTTCACAAGATGGGGAGTATCACCCACTTTGGGAAACACTGGCTTAGAGCATTCTACCCTGTTGACTACAAATGTGTGCCTGGGTTCCATCCAAGGGCTTGGAGGCCATTTATAAGATCAATACCCCTGAAAAAGAGATAAGGCTTGGGATGTTCTAGCTCTAATTTAGGATCAAAGGTGATTAGGGGCCCTGAAGCTGACTTTTCAGCCTGCTAGATATCCAGGCGATGACCCCTTCATATATCATCACCCTTTATGATGCAACCAGGAAGCTGAACAGGCTTAGGTACTGTCCAGGGCTATTGTTACAGTCATAAAATGATGAGATTATTCTTCAGCTGTCTTCTATCTGGCAAGATAACCAACAGGCATTGCCTTTCAGGTAGTGGACATTAGGGACTCTGAAAATATGACAGTAATCATCAATGTGTGAACTTCGGGTAGGGAGATATACTCTTTCTGGTTTCAAAGGGACTTTTTCTGGTTCTAATAGTGAAAATCCTATGTCCTAATCAAACCAGGATGGCTGTTCAGTTTTTGAACTGGTGAGGTCTGGGTATATAAGGGATATTCAAGGAAACTAAAGATGGAATGTTCCTGGATCTAGCAGTGATCTGGAAATTGGAATTCATTCACAAGGGTACTGAAGAAAATGATATTAAAGGAGGGGCTTAACTGTTCACACTAATTTGAAAGTTTTTCTATAACTGACTGATTTGAAGCTAGGAGATGTTTTATTTTAATGACCTGCCACCAACTCTCCAACATAATTAAAATGTCAAAGTCGCAGAGGAAGAAAGAATAATTTTACTCTACTATTTGGACAAGTAGACAAGAACTTGACCATTGACCATTAACTCCAATATGCTTTTGAATATGAGACTGACAGAAAATCATACAAGAAGCACTAAGGGTTAAAAAGAGTTATTACTGACAACCCATCAAGACATGTTCAAAGTTAACACACCTATAACTTAGTATTTAGAGTTTGGTTTACCTAAGTATGTTTCCAGTAAGAGCAGAAACTAACAATCTTCTACAACAAACTCATCATAATGCAAAAGGGGAAAATCAAAACCCATTCTTTTCTTGTTTTCTTAAACACTGGCCTCTCTAGGACAGGGAAGACTTCTCTCTTCCAGGCCTAGTGATTTAAAAAGTTGTCTATCTGTTTGTCACTCTTTCAGACGGACAACTGTGAAACCCAATAAACCACTGCCCAGAGCCCCATTAAGACTAAACTGGTCTGAGATTTCACTCTCAGGTAGGTAGGGTCTCAGGTAGGTAGGGTCTGTGTACTTGGGTCAGCATGAAATTACAGAGAACAGAACTTCACCCATGATTTAAGATGAAGAAATCTCTAGGGAGAAATGTCCAGGTAAATAGATAAGGGGATCCTAGTAATGAGCCTTAGGAAATAATAAAATTTAAGAAGAAACTGCCCAACCTTGAATAGCCCAAAGGCCTGGAACTCATTCCTTTGAGATGCAAATCACGAGCTTCTTGGAGGTAGGGAATTTGAGACACTACCCAGAGGCTGAAACTAGGCACCACCTGGGAAGGAGTGGAGCCATCAGAAAAGGAGAAGCTACAGGAGACTCTAAGGTCAACAAAAGCAACCAGAGTTGGCATGGATGTGCTGGTGGGAATGCAGACTGGTTCAGCCCTTTTGAAAAACAATATGGATGTTTTTCAAAAAACTAGAAATTGAGCTCCCATTTGACCCAGCAATACCACTTCTGAGAATATATCCTGGAGACGCAAAAAAAATATACAATAGAAATGACATCTGTACTTGTATGTTATTACAGCACTACTTAAAATAGCCAGAATCTGGAAAAAAAAACAAATGCTCGAGAACAGATGACTGATTAAAGAAATGGTATGTCTACACAATGGAATACTATGCATCTGTTAGAAAGAAAAGATGAAATCACGAAATTTGCACATAAGTGGATGGGCATGGAGAGTGTCATGCTAAGTGAAATGAATCAGAAAGAGAGGGACAGACATAGAATGATTGCACTCATTTGTGGAATATAAAGTAACGTAATAGGAGACTAAGATCTAAGGAAAGTAGAGATAAGGGTCAGGAGGATGGCTCCAGGATTTGGAAGCCAGTATCACATGCTGGGGAAAAGGGCAGTTGAGATAGAGAAGGGACGCTAAGTAATGATGACTCAGGATGGCATATGCATGCTGAAAATAGACTATGGATGGACCAAATATGATGGCCACTTAGTACCTGTATTGCAAACCATAAAACCCAAAAGGAAAGAGAGTAAGAGGGAATGTGCCTGCCATAGAGGTAAATGAGGAAGGCCAGGAGGGATACGGGAACATTGGTGGTGGAGAATGGCACTAGTGGATGGATGGGTACTTGAATATTGTATGAAAGAAATGTAATCACTAAAATTTGTAAGTCTGTTAACAATCTCACAGTGATTCATTAAAATAAAATCTTAAAAAATATTAAATCAAAAAAAACAAAAAAAGAAATTATCCAAAGAACCTAAAAATAATAAAGATTATGATAAGAATGTGAAAGAACCATCAAGAGCCCAGGGCTCCCAGGTTAAGTTTTCTATAAGAAGAAGAGAACTTGGCAAGACAATTTGTAACAATTGTATGTAACCATCATCCAAAACTTCATTCTTCGCTTTTTTTTGTGGGGGGGAGGCATACCCAGTGATGTTCTGGGCTTAGTTCTGGTTCTGCACTCAGGGATTACACTTAGATGGATCTGAGGTCCATATAGAGAGCTGGGATCAAAGCAGGTTTGGCTGAGTGCAAGGCAAACACCCTACCACAATACTGTCTCTCCAGTTCCAAAAGCCCTTGTTCTCTCAGGAGGACCTCTCTCTCTCTCTCTCTCTCTCTCTCTCTCTCTCTCTTTCTGTCTCTCTCTCTTTCTCTCTCTCTCTCCCCTCTCTCTCTCCTAACATTTTAAAGAAAACTTCTTTCAATAAAATGATTTTGCTTCTCTTAGAAAAAAGAGCTAGTATTATTATATTAACTTAAGCAGCATGCTATGAAAATCGAACCATAAACAATTAATTTTTGAAACCTAAGGTATTATCAAAAAACCAAATCTTGAACTATAAACGAGCACTTAAAAGGTTTAAATAAAAGAGATAGATAATATTGATTGAAGTCTGCATTAGATTTCCTTGAAATAGCCAAGTCCTATAATTCTCAGAATACCAAACCTTAATAAAGACACCTAGCAAGCTTGCTTCTCTGACTTCTGTGTCTTAACAGGATTAATGCAAGGCCTAGAAGTTCCAAAGCCTTATGTTTATTTATAATATTAAATATTCCCATAAGCATAATTGTTCAAAAAAGAAGGTTGCATTTTGATAAAGCCCATTTCTTCATTAAGATTTCATCATCCACCTACATTAAAAAGCCTCTTAAACTTTGTTGCTTTTGCTTTCACCTCTTTATTCCTGCCTTATTTGCTTAATCTTAAGATCCTGACCTCCTAAGGCACTCTCAAATCTGAAACAAGTGAAGTTTATGCATTAGTGTGTCCAGGGCATACATGATTTATGAATAGCAGATTCATGGCACAATTTAATGACAAAATCAGAAGAGATTTTGTTTTGAAGTGGAAGTTGAAAAGTGATGATGGAGGATGAGATATTAGAGCTTCTAGCATGAAAAGATGTTTAAGTTGAGTCAACCAGTTAACTTTGTCTATTTCTTAAGTAAACTTGATCTGCTAATCCTGAACTGATATCCAAGCAACTGAAAAAATATTTTAAATTTGTATTCTAATAACTTTCATAACTCATTCTTCACTGTCACTGTCACTGTCCTCCCATTGTTCGAGCAGGCCCAGTAATATCTCCATTGTGACAATTGTTACTGTGTTTGGCATATCGAATACGTCATGGGTAGCTTGCCAGGTTTTGCCGTGCAGGTGAGATACTCTCGGTAGCTTGCCAGGCTCTCCAAGTGGGGCGGAGGAATTGAACTCGGGTCGGCCGTGTTGGCTGCTTAGGAAGGGAAATGCCCTACCCACTGTGCTATCGCTCCAGCCAACTCATTCTTCAATAAAACTAAATGTTAACATTTATATTGGTGGAGAAAACAGATATTTTTGACCTATAGAAATAAAATTTATTTCCTCTTTATAATTATTCTACTAATATTTAGGCTGTTTCCTACCACAATGAGTCTTTCTGACAGTTTTTCATAAATCAGTCAGTGTTGCAGACAAAACCTCTATTTAAAAGAATGATTCTTCCTGAGTAAAATTAGAGACAAATTCTTGTCATAAGGCTGTGGAATAGAAAGGTATGAATACAACTTTGTTTTCTCTTCATACACATGATCTCAAATAATATAATTTTAGTTAATATTCATAACTAAAATAAACTTGTAGGCAAAATTTAAATCATGTCAGTCATTGAAATCTGTATTTGGAGTGCTCTAACTACTTCACATACAAACAGCAATGCCTAACCTTTCTTGGCAGATAGCTGAATGGACTAACTCATTAGATTATAATTGAAATCCTCAAATAATGCTCAATAATTTTACAGCTAACTTCTTGGTGTGTCTTGTATTATGATTGCTCATAAATGCTTCCTGAAGATCTGAAAGTTTCCAAATTTATGTCAGGAAATAAGAACTGATGGAACCCACGGATTAAACAAGCTCAAGATTCACAAACAATCTGAAACTTTGCTTTTTACATAAGGCCTTAATGTCCTTTATGGTGAAAGCAACTCAGAGAAACACTTAGCACTTCAGATATTTGACCACTGGCCAGACCACTGGCCAGAGAATTTCTCCCTGCATGGCACATGTACAATTGGTTACCTTGTAGATTTTGCAATGGCAGAGTCATTATGCCTCCAGCTGCAGCTGCTGCTACCAGCCCTTGGATGTTGGTGAGATTTGCTGTCGGCAGTGTGAGGACCAGTCCTTGCTGCCCTCCGAGCTGTCCAGCCATGTTGAAGGGGATGAGGATGGGCTGGTTGAGGGCGGGGGTACCTCCCGGCATCACACCGGCTACAGCAGAGGCTAACTGCTGTGCTGTTAGAAGTGGCTGCAAGGAAATAGATAATTTTATTTTTCAGTAAAATCAAGAGATTTCAGAGCATTTTCCTTCCATTGAAAGACAGAGACAGCTTCCCCAGAAAATAAAATAAAAAATTGTTTTTTAAAACTGAAATTTTATTATTATTTTGTTAGAAATTTTTATTTGGTTAGGACTTTCTTTGAAAAATTCAAGTATTTTTTAAAATAATGCCTTACATGCATTAATATTCTTGCAGCAAATTTTCATTGGGTCTTACCTTTTTATATTTGGTAAAGGTAAAGGTAAAGGCCCTCCCGTTGATCGTCGATTTGCTCGAGCAGGCCCAGTAACATCTCCATTGGAGACTTTGTTGTTACTGTGTTTGGCATATCGAATACTCTCGGTAGCTTGCCGGGCTCTCCGAGAGGGTTTTATATTTGAAACTCTGATATATTTTGTATTTGAAACTCTGAAATTGTGTTGATCCAGAAAGAGCTAATTAGGTTCAGGAAAATTTAGGGGGGGAGAAGTTGGGGGCTTCAACCATATCAACTAAATGCCAATTTTTTTTAGATAGGTAAGTCTGTAGTGACACCGTGATGCAGATTTAGAAACATGTACATTGGTAGAAACCTTTTCTAAAGTAAATTGAAAAATCCATCTTGAAAGCCACAAAAAATTTTATCTCCTTTGAGTCAGAAGGGGATAACTTTAGGGATAAGGACTGGAGATAAAATTCAATAGGGAAAAATGATGAGTGTTAAAATAATGCATTAAATAAGTTTTTTCTTTTTGGGTCACACCTGGCGATGCTCAGGGGTTACTCCTGGCTTTGCACTCAGGAATTACTCCTGGCGGAGCTCAGGGGACCATATGGGTTGCTGAGAATCGAATCGGGTCCACCGCGTGCAAGGCAAACGCTTTACCTGCTGTGCTATCGTGCCTGCCCCACAATTAATAAATACTGAATATTATTTTTACAGTATTATAATTGATAAGAGATCATAAGTTTTAAAAATAGACTATTGGAAACTTAAAATATTTAAGAATTTTTGTTATCACTTCAATATTTTTTGCCCAGCTAAAATGACATGAATAATAAACATTTATTGTCTACTATTCAGTCAATAGCCATGGCTTGGTATGGAAAGATATGCTTGTAGGTATGTACTTCAGGATGTCTGACAAGGATGACCAGGAAGGGATTACTGCCTGGGCCAGGCCAGGCGACCTGGAAGTTCAATGGCTCCTTGACCCAGGATGTTCTCCATACTCCTAAGGAAGCCACATGAGACAGCCCCAAGTCCATTTTTCTTTTAGAGAAACCAATACAAAAACTCTAATTGGGGGAGTTTCTTTATTGTGGCATAATTTTATAAAAAAAAAAAAAAGAAAGTCCTAAACTTGTAGGTATAGCACTCCCATATGGAGTGGTGATGGGGGCTAAAGGTCAGGAGAGTGGTTCCATCCTTTCTCCTTGTATCTTCTCAAGACATGAACAGATTTAGAGAACAGGGGCTGCTTTATTTAAAGAATGGAGGGGTGGCTGAGCTGCTCTGTGATTCTCCCTTCAGTCAGCAAAAATGGATCCTTCTTGGGAGCTCTGAAGAAGCCCAGAGAGTTGTATAGCCTGATGGAGATACTGTGGGCCTCATCCTAATGCACATGTGCGAATTTACTAAATTCCTGCAAAGTAACTGTGCACCTATTTTATTTTAAAACAAACAAACAAACAAACCAAAGTGTCTCTCCAGGAGTAATATCTGCCAAAGGTGAGACCATGATAAGAGGGAAGTCACATGGTAGCCTTTAGACCTAGACTATAGGCCACAGATTTGAAGTTCGGGGCCTTTGACATTTGAAAAATTTTGAGGTGTGTGAGCTTAAAGCATGGCACACACAGTCCTGCCTGTCACAGTGCCTACCCCTTCTTACTCTCGGGGTCTGTTCTGTGAATTATTTAATCTGGTCTTCCCAGTATGTTGTCACACATGCATGGCATATACCTGTATCTCAGACATGAAGTTACAGAAAAGCTGGTACTGAGAATCCAGTAAGACTGTCTCTATGCTTCAATGGAAGCGCAGACATCTCCCTGACTCTCTGTCCTGGCGCCAAGAGCATCCCAGAACACAGGGAACAGAGAACAGTTGAAATGAGAAAGACCAGCCCAAACTCCAAACTTGGACTTTCAAGACTGAACTTTTAATTCTCAGAGTGCAAAAAGTGATTAATTTCCAGGAACAAGAATGCTAGTAAAAGAGAGATAAATAAATACACATCTTCCAGCTTTCTTTCCCATAAAAGTGGGTGCTGAACTCTGAAAGTGTCACACTAAATGACTGGGGAGGGACCGTGCCCAGTCTTTTGTAATTGTGTTCTACATCTCCATATACGCACACCAGGCTGCAAAAAAACAAATATTGGACTTTAAAAAATAATGAATGCATTTCTTTATTAATGCAGGAGCTGTGTGTGATGTACAGTATTGTCAAACCCAATAAGCTGAACTTGCATTAAAATTGCATTAACTTTTTTATATTAAATCACATCTTGTATTTAAAAAATGGCTATGGTAAGGTTGAAATAACTTAATTTTCTTCACACTCCAGTCATTAAAGTTTTACTTTCTAGAAAACTGCTCGTAACCAGCAGCACAGTTGCTATGGGTTTTAGGAAGGAAAATAAAAGTTCCTGGATGATTAAAAATAGCATTTCCTATTGAAAATGTGAGTTGGGTTACACAAATGCATTTCCCCCCTTGATGTGATTTAATAAATAATATAGTCCTACAGCTTATCATCCAAGAATGTATCATCCTCATTACTCTGTTGGAGTCAACTGGATTTAGCTCATTATTATTTATTTGGCTCTTTATCTGGTCTAACCATTCTAACTGAAGCCTACAAAGAGCAAGTGAGAGATACCAACCTGTGGGCCCACCGGAAATGGGGGGTGGGTCTGGTTGGCCTGGGGTTGGTCTGGAGTCCCTGGGTCTGAGAGTGCCGGGTTTCCTCTGGCCCCTGGAAATAAAAAGAGAGATGCTCTCTTAGTCTAAGATCCAATTACAGAGAGGTGCTCCCGTAGTCTAAGGTCCAACTACAGAGAGGTGCTCCCTTAGTCTAAGGTCCAGCTAGAGTCATGCATGATCCCATTTTCCTGTGATGCCATATAACATGAAGGTGAGGATAAAATGACAGAGAAACTTCAGCACATGAACCACTTGTCAAACTAAGTTAAGTTACCAGACTGTTAGGCTGGCCAGAGTCATTCTGAGAGGTAGAAGGTTGTGACAATAAAGAAAATGATGCCATCAGCGGTCACTCTTATCCACCCACATTATACATCAAATTGCATGGATGAGAGTGTGGAGCATGTGGTGTACCAATGCATCATACATTTTGAAAATTGTATCTTTTATGCATTGGCAAGAAAGCTAATCTAATTACTGAGGACAGAGAAAGCAAGATTCAGAATGCATCTATATGATCCGTTAGGATGGCTTTATCCCCTCAAATCTGTTTGCCTTAAAATGAAGTTTATGAATGGGCTTTTCTCAAAACAAAGCCTGCAACAATTTCACCTACTTCAAGTTCCCCATAAGAATATGGACCTACTTCAGCAAGTTTCCTGAGAGAGTAGGAATCACACATTAACTCCAGGGAGATCCTCTGTGTGCTAGACAAAGAACAAAACTTCTACTTCTGGAATCCTGTCTACTGCCTAAGCATACAAAATAAAATCCCACTCAAACCCAAGTTTTCAAAACATTATTAAGCATTTTATTTAAACATTATTAAGCTCCCGGGAGCGTGCGGCTGCATTTGCAGCCGCGCGACTTTTTATTTACATTCATTTAATTTTTCAGGGTACCTTAAATATCCCACCAACATGTCAGAGCCTGGCAAGCTATCCGTGGTCTATTTGTATGCCAAATCCAGTAAAAAAATGGATCTCATTCCCCTGAACCTGAATACGGAAGAGTCGAGAAGGATGTGGAAGGAGAGGCTGATAAAATTCCAAGGCAGAAATAGACTGCCAAAAGGAAGAAAGACAAAAACGATTGTCTGTACTTTTAATGCACGTACGCTGGAATCTGATGCATCCATCGAGGACCTGATGGTACAAGTGCGAAAGATCAAGTATGACATCATTGGTTTGACCAAAACGAGAAGACATCAATCACATCACACCATTTTTGACACTGGAGAAGAACTGTTTCTTGGAACATGTGACAAAAGAGGCATCGGTGGTGTTCGTATCCTTGTCAACACAAACTTAGCCATAAGCAATGATTCATTCGAATGCCTAACAACCCAAATCGGATGATTACACTTGAATAGATGTGGCTCACTGCCGGCAGTTTCTATCTTTGTTGTCTATGCACCAACATCCAATTATGGTGAAAGAGAAATTGAGAAGTTCTACATGGAGCTGGAGAATTTCTATAAAGATCACACCTTCTACAAGATCATCGTCGGTGATTTTAATGCCAAGATAGGACCAAGAAGATCAGCTGATGAACTCCACATTGGGACCCATGGCCTAGAATGGAACGAACAGAGTGACAGACTGTCTGAGTTCATTATGTCAACCAAGACCTTCCATGGTAACTCACAGTTCCAAAAGTCTGAATCTAAACATTGGACATGGGAGTCTCCCGGTGGATGGTTCCACAATGAAATAGACCACATCATATTCAATAGGCGGTTTTGCCTAACCGATGTTGCTGTTGTCCCAAAATTCCAAACGGGATCGGACCACCGTGTCCTTTGTGCAAAATTCTAACTCACAGAACGAGGAGAAAAGAATGCAAAGTTTAAAAAGAGAACTCCCAGAACGACCACCAACTGGGAGTTCTTTGGCTCTGTTGCAGCAACATGGGAAGATGCTGTCATTGACAACATTGATGAGGAATACGATCAAATGATTCAGCACCTCCATGATTGTGCGAGGAATGCCACGAGAGAAATAACCACAAAAAGCCGCCTTTCTTCGAACACTCTTGAACTTATTCGCCAACGTGGCTTGGCACATGCCTCAGGCAACCGCAAATGAATATCCGAGCTGGCAAAACAATGCAGAGAAGCCATCAAGGATGACCTCAAAGACAAGAGAGCAGCAGTGCTGATAGATGAGGCAGAAGCTGGGAAAAGCATTCGTAATGCCCGCCTGTCCTTCACCAACTACAAGACCAAGATGACTGCCCTCTGACATCCTGATGGATCTATCACATCTTCCAGAAGGGCAATGGAGAAGATTATTCATGACTTCTATTCAGATCTCTTAATAGCCACGTCCACTTGCTCACATACCACATTCCACATGATGGATATGTCGTTCCCAATGTTCTCCCTTCCAAAATCCAATATGCCATCTCGTCGGTAAAGAAACAAACAGCACCTGGCCCAGACAAGATCAGACCTGAACACCTGAAGAACTTACCATCAGTACTCATCAATACTGGATTGGCTCTTCACACGCTACCTGTCTGAATGCAAGGTTCCATCCCAATGGAAAACCAGCAGGACTGTACTACTATACAAGAAGGGAGACATCCATGACATTGGCAACTATCGCCCAATCTGCCTATTGTCTGTCATCTACAAACTGTTCACTCCAGTCATCCTGAATAGGATTAGCAGAACACTAGATGAAGGACAACCATGTGAACAAGCCGGATTCCGAAAAGGATTCAGTACCATCGACCATATCCACATGATTACTAAGCTCATTGAGGTTTCTCAGGAGTTCAAGATGCTGCTCTGTCTAACATTCATTGATTTAAAGAAGGCCTTTGATTCTGTTGAGATGGAAGCGGTCATAGAGGCCCTAGGCAATCAGGGCGTACAAACTCAATACATCAGGATCCTCCATGAGCTCTATTATGGATTCACTACCAGGATCTCACCATTCTACAAAGAAGTGATCATCCTTGTCAAGAGAGGGGTTCAACAGGGTGATACCATTTCACCAAAACTCTTTAGTGCCACCCTCGAGAACATCATGCGACACTGGAATGGGAAAGAATGGGAGTGAAGATAGATGGTCGGCAACTACACCACCTCCACTTTGGTGATGACATTGTTTTAATAACACCAAACATCAGCCAAGTGACACAAATGCTGACTGACTTCGACCGTGAGTGTGGAAAGGTCGAACTACAGCTGTGTCTTACGAAGACAACGTTTATGAGAAACAGCCTCGTTCCTGACTCTCCATTTGCTCTCAACGGAACCACCATCTCCGAATGCAACAGTTATATATACCTAGGTCGAGAAATCAACATGATAAATGACCTGCCACCTGAGTTGTGCAGGAGGAAGCGAGCAGCTTGGAATGCCTTCAAGAGCGTTGAAGAAATAACTAAGAGGACAAAGAACTTCCAGCTATGAGCACATCTCTTCGATTCTACTGTTTTTCCTCCATTAACATATGCCTCAGAGACAGTAAACCCAAACAACTAGACAAATAAATAAAGCTAGCAACAATTGGGGGAGGGACTGTTACTTGTAGCTTTTGCTTTTGTGGCATTTAAAATCCAATCAATTCTCAATCATCTTACCATGATTCTTTTCTAAGTGTTTGTCCCATGAATAGTAAGTGGAAAACAATCTAAACCCTGTTTACTAGAAAGTTGTGGGTGACCTAGGAAAAAAAGATATGATTCTGTCACAGTTATAAATTTTAAAGAAGGTATTATTGGCTCATTTAAAACAAATTCTTCTATATATTCTCCAATGGGACTTATAAATAATGGAAATGGGGGGAAAATACTTCAGCACATTAAACTACAAATAAAATTGACTGCTACATATTATTCAATTGGCTTCTATCTCCACAGTGATGTGTCAATCATAACAGCATTTTATAATAGGATTAAGCAATAAATGTGCAAAGCCATTATGCAGAAATCTGAAAATCTGATTAATTTGTAATATTTTTGTGCAGAAAGTCAGGAATGGACATTGCTTGGGGAATACTTACAAGCATTCTATTGAAATTTCTAAATTGATTTGGAAAAAACTAATAAACACACAGACTTGCTGACATTTTATAAAGTGAATTCTGTCAAAATATGTTTGGCATTTTAATGTTCGTTGTCATTTAATAACAAGGGTAAGATGACCCATCAAAAGATGCCAACAATTTCCCTATAATGTGCAGGAGACCTTCCTTCTAAATTTTTAATACGTGATTTACTTATTATGCTTGAATTGCAGGGCATTTTAGGCCCAAAGTATATTACAAAGTATAAATCTCACAATTTCTGTCCCAAGCCTTATTTTGTCTTATAGTTCTCAGCAGAGTTTCATGTACTTTTATAGAACTAACAAGGTCCCAAAGTGATAATTTTTGTTAAATATTGAGATTAGGTAAATTCTCAAATGGTTCAAAATCCACTTTGGTTTGGTTGTTGAAGATGTTTTAAAATTTGCATTTGCCTCCCATTATTTTATAACCATGAGTTTTTATTTTAGGTACCAGAGTCAGAGTTTTACAATGCACAGAGACTAAAACCTTTCTTTTCACAGAATATAAAAGGAAAAAAATAATTTTTCAATATTAAAAAAATGTCTGTGCTGTGCCAAGCCCTGCAGTGGTCCCTTTCTTTCAGAAGCACCAGCTCGCTTTGGGACTGGGATGCCACTGGATAACGTGCCCGTCATGCTCAGGAGTAGTCGCATGCTCTGTGTCAACAAGATTTTGTGTCCCTTACCTGCAGCTTGGCTCAGATTACATTTGCTTACATTCCATTCTCCATTGCTAGAGGCCCTCTCCAGCACAGTGCAGCTTGTTAGGAAGCTGGTTATTCTCAGAAACTATGTTCGGAGCCGTGCAGGGCAATTCCACACAATTTTCTGTGTAAAATGAAGTCTTTCACAGACTCTCGAGGAGATTATGTGTGCTCTCTTGCCTGGATCAAAAGGTAATGTTTCTTCTTAATGCGCATTTCCATCTCCCTTAAGCACATATATCACACTTTTAACCTTGGAGTACCATAACCCAATCTGTCTGGATG